AACATGTGTTAGTTTGATTCCAGCATGTTTTTGCCACTGATTTAGCATGCTTTAACTTTGTTTTGAGTCGTATTGGTCATATGAGACTTGTTATGCATAGTTGTAGTGCAAAGGCCTTTACTAGCTTTGAGTTTTAAGGCCTCAAACATGTTGTGCATGTGATGATTGCATGTTTTGGCATCATTTAGCATGTAATTTTAGTGCATGTAACTTTGTCACACTCTCACATATTCCACTCTTTCATTGCTTTTGAGAGTTGTGCATTGTGCCTTGCTTGCGAGCTAATAAAGGAGCATGTTTTTCTTGCCTTCTATGCTTTAATTTTAGCATGTTTTGGCTACTGATTTGGCATGTTTAAGCTCTGTCCAAAGCTGGTTTGGTCATTTAAGCTTAGTGTTGCATGCCTCTAGTGTAATGCTCTTCACTAGTCTTGATGATTATGGCTTTTGAACATGTCTTGCATGCTTTGCTTGCATGGTTTAGTGCCTTTAGCATGCCATTTCAGCACTCAAAGTCTGCCATCTCCCTCTCTTCTTCACTTTTCGATTTTCTTTGAAAGTGGTCTTGAGCCCCTTGTTGGCTTGAGTGTGAATTTGAGGTTCTCATGCCTAATGGCTTTAATCCTCTCTTGAAGTTTTCTACTAGTCAACATAAGACCTCTTTCATGCTCAAGACATTTGTGGCTTAGGCCATCTTTCTAATTAGAGGACTTTCACATTTGGACAAATCAACTAATAAATGGCTTGGTAATCTTAAAATGTGTAAACAATAATTGAATCAAGTAAAACAAGGCCAAGATAAGCATGTTCTTTGCATTGCATTGTGTTCAATCGGACGTTATATTGAACACAAGGTAGATTGGTCCATTTCATACTCAAAATGATGAAAATAAGCCAATCTTCCTTTGTCTCCATTGCCCTTGATCATGCATGATAGGGTAGTGATCCTAGAGTCTTGTTTTGTGCATTTATTGAATGTGTACAAGTTGGATTTTTGGCCATCGTGCATTCAAAATGCTTGATTGGTGGTCTTGGATTCAATAGTGCAACTCCTTTGATGTTTTGAGATGATAAGGAGGGGCATAGTACAAACATATCCTTGGGAGACCCTCCATTTTCCTCTAGTTTGAGCTCTGTTGCAGAATGGTGATACAACACACCAGTGGCCGGCAGTGCCTCACTGATGGCCGGCACTGCTTCATCCTTGGCCGGCAGTACACATCTTTGGCCGACAGGTGGCCGGCAGCAAGCTCCCATGGTCGGCAAGCCACCGGTGCATTACTCAGCATTGGTTTGGTAAGGTGAAGCAGAAAGTTCTTGGAGACACCCTGCAAACAGAGCCTCTCATCTTAATCATAAAACTAGAAAATTAGTTCTACATAATTGTGAAACTATAACTCTACAAAAGAAACACTCTAAACTGATTTTTTTCCTTCCCAGCTCTCTTGTTGTCCTCTTCCCCCTCCATGTGTAGCTTTTCCTCTTCTGAGCTCCTTAATTGATAGACCTAGAAAAATTAATACAATTAGTAAACAAAATGGGGTTAGCTTCCCTCTAGTCCGTGATCGGACTGGAGGGTACTGTTGGGCCCATAGGGGCTCACCACGAATTCTGTTTTGATAATCTGAATCGTCCATTAATGTGTAGAACTTGTCGAGTATTATATATTTATAAAAAAAATCACGTTGATCGAATATTAATAGCTATGTGATCAAAACAGTTTTGTATTAAAAAAATAGACGGTGAAAAAATAAACGGTTAACAGAAATATGATCTGATGAGATAATTATCGATCAACATGATTTTTTACATGCATATAATACTCGATGAGTTCTACACATTGAATGATTTGAAATATCGAAACAGGACTCATGATGGGCCTCCACAGTACCTTTCAATCCAATCACGGACTGGAAAAAAGCCATCCCAAATAAAATGTATAATAAATGCATAAGGTGCTGATGGTGATGATTATGTTTTTTGATGATGGATGGTAAAGGATGGTGTTGAGGATGATGATGATGTTGGATATGATGATGATAACGGATAGTTATCGAAAGGTGACTAATATATATATATATATTTTTTAAATTTTATTTTAGGAAAAATTAGTCTAGGGTCCCTCTTCCACTTTTCATAATGGAAGAGATCCACAAAAATATTTTTTGATGTCTCTCTAAACATATATCAGCTCAGCTCAACTCTGTTTTCTCCAAATGTCTCAACTCTCTCTGCTCCTATTATGTTTTTTCATTTACATCCAAAATCTCAACTTCACACACTCTCTCTCCTCTCCCTAAAATCCGCCGTCGTTCACGGAGGCGCCGGCGTATTCTCCGACTGGAACGAAGGAGCTCGGAAACCATTCTGAGCGACGTTGAGGCCGAGGATCCAACACCGATTTCCATCAATTCGCTGAAAGATATGTCGATGGAGAGGTTTAGGGAGGTTCTCGCAGAGCTTGGTCGACGGAGAGAAGCTCTACGACACAATCACAGTCACCGACGGACAGAGTTCTCAATCCATCTACAACCAATCAAGAGATCATTACGAATCCATCATCCCGGGCCAAACCGCTTTGCTGACTAGCCCAGCTCGATCCATCTCAGCCTGCAACAGCTTCACCATCGACGTGGTTCTCAAGGATAAGGACAAATTGACGATCGCATTGATCAGAATTAACAAACTATTCAAAACTCGCATCGAAAACAACGCATTCACTCGTCTGCTAGCTCTCGATGTTAGCATTACAGTCGCTACTGCTGCTGAATCACCTTTTTCCATCATTCTTCTTTGATTGATTCCCAAAATCCAATTGTCTATTTCAATTTTCTCACAAAATTATTCAATTCAATTTACGAAATTCACAAATAGCAATAAAGGGGCTTGTTGAATTCAATTCAATTGAATGTAATGGCTGGCTGGCTGGTAGAGAGAGAGATAGTTTTTGAATGAATTAGCGGAGGATTGACGCAATTTTCTCTGGGCTTGGGAAGTCCAGAATTTATCAATTTTCTCTGGTTTGAAAATTGGTCAAACTGAACCCAGAGAAATTTGAATTTTCTCTGGGTTGAATCTAGAGAAATTCTTTGGAAGTCCAGAATTTTCTCTAAACTAATTTTCTCTGGACTAATGGTATTTGAATTTCAATGCTACTGCATAGATATCACTGCGTCTTCATTTTCTTAATGCATGTGTTCGATTTTAATTCTAATTATTTATTTTTTATTATTATTTTGTGTGTAATCCACCAATGCACCACTCTACTGCCCATAGCTGTTTGAAAGAAAATTCAAACAAATCACAAAACTCATATATATATATATATAGAGAGAGAGAGAGAGAGAGAGAAGGGGTAGGCATTAAAGACCTTGGAAAGGAGAGAGAGATGCAGAAAGGGTGATGAGAGAAGCTGAGACTTGAGAGAGAGAGAGAGAGAGAGAGAGAGAGAGAAGGCATTGAAGACCTTGGAAAGGAGAGGGAGATACAGAAAGGGTGGTGAGAGAAGCTGAGACTTGAGAGAGAGAGAGAGAGAGAGAGAGAGAGAGAAAGAGAGAAGGTGGGTTGTTGCTGATATTAAGGTGGGTTGTTGCTGATATTGGGGAGGGTGGTGACCAGGGGAAATGACTGACAATATTGCTTTACCTTGAACCACAATGGGTGTAAGTGCAAGTATTTGAAATTTTCTCTGAATCAATTTTCTAATTTTCCCTTCCTTTCTCAAATCAGAAAAAATTTCAAAATTTCTTTGGAAAGGCCAGAGAAATTCTTCTCAAAATTTCTCTGAACCAATTTTCTCTGTGATGTGAATTTTCTCTAGACTAATTTTCTCTGGACCAATTTTCTCTGGATCAACTTGAGGGACCTTAGACATTATGAAAATATTTGGTGTCCTTTATGCTATAAAATCTTAATACCAGGGATCTTAAAAAAAAAACCCTTTTATTTTATTTAAAATATATTATTTATATTAATTTATGTATAACACTAAAATATATTTCGACATATAAAATCACACAAAATTATAAAATAATATAAATAAATAGACTAATAAAGTGTATATTAACAGGTTAAATATGTAACAATTAAGTACCAATCAAATAAATTGGCTAAAATATTAAAAAAAATTACTAACAATAAACGAAAATTCAAACAATAATCTTTATGTATTTTTGTTCGACTTTCGTTTGTTTTTATCAATTTTTTTTTTATATTTTAGTTAAAAAAATTTACTTTATCTAAAACGTTAAAAAAATGAATTTTTATGCTTTTAGTACTTTTTCTTTTTTAATTTTTAAAATTTTAAGTCCTCAATGATCAAAAAAGTTTTTTTAAAAAAAAATCTAAAAAGAGTTTACCAAAAAAAAAAGGGCGATTTATTTATTTTAGTGTTTTTCTTCCCTAAAAATTTATTCCGTCTAGTAGAATATAACCAAACTAAAGTGTTTTTTTAAAACAATTAAAAACTCATTAAAATAAAAACCATTAAGGAGAGAGAGAGAGAGAGAAAAAAAAAAAAAAAAAAAAACCAATATCAGACCCACCTACCATCATCAATAATTTATTGTTGACAATCCTGATCTGCCATATACAGCTTCATATCAGCGCATCGACTCTCATCCCCTCTGAACTTTTCTCTCTCTCTCTCTCTCATCTCAAATCTTCTCGATTTTCAAGTTCTAACTTTCATTTTCACAACAATCTTACATTTGGTCGAGAGATTTGTGAGCAAATTTAAAAAGAAAAATGGGTAAAATTAAATAAAATTTTACCTATTTTTTCTTTTTCTATTTCTAAATCATTTTTCAAATTCCCAAACTTAAAACCCCCCAAATCTTTCAATACCATCCTCACTGAACTCATCCATATGGAGAACGGCAACAATCCCATCAACACCAGCTATTTCTCAGATGATAGACCAAGTAAGCATGAATTCCAATTTTGTATTGGGTCTCTTTTATGTGTAAACATTAGTTTCTTTGTGTTTGTCCCCTTTCTCTTGCTTTTTCAATGTTAATGTTGTAATGCTTATGCCTTTCCGTTACATAGATGGATGGAGATGTTTATTTCATAATTCAGTGTTTGTTTGTGGAAGAATTGCATTGACAAATATCTTTTAAGATTCAAAATTGGCATAAAAATCACGGACTTTGATTTTGGATCTTGAATGATGTGTTATAATCTGAAACATTTTGAAATAAAGATCTTCATTCCAACTGCATATAATAAAGAGTATCTAAATCAAAACAACACTATCACTACTTCACACTTGGAACTTTCAAATCACACTCATAATATATTAAACCACACTATTGATACATTAAGATTCTTAAACACACAACAAGCATTCAACTTCAGGTACTACAACCCCCATCTAAAAAAAAAAAAAAAAACTTCAGATACTACAACATGACACTATTTTTTGTTAATTTCAAATTCTTGATCCAAACATAGTCTTGCTTCGTTTAATTCTGTAGAGGTGAACTTGGCGCATTTTTAACTTTACGGAACCAAGCTTCTGCATATGCCTTTATTTCTCGATCTTCTTTTTCCATTTCCTCAAACCACTTTTGGAATTTCTGCTTGTACTTGGATGTTTTTTTAATATTAACGTGGACAACAGCGGCAAAAATATGGAGCCTCTTCTTGTTCTTGTCCATTTTAGTGCCTGCTTTTTCCATCACATCTTTCCACTTTTGCTGCAAACTCCCAATGGGCAAAAACACTAAGAAGCAACAATTGAATAGATATACATGGTGACAAAAAAAGAAAAAAAAAGTATATACATGGAACGGCATTTACTGCAATCTATACAATCTACTAGCACAGTGCAAATGTAGTCAGGGTTATAACTTACAGGAGTCGAATAGATATATATTAATAAAAAAAAAAAAAAAATTGGAAATAAAGTATATATTACAAGGTCAATATTTATTGATATAAAAAGTAAAAATTAACATAAAAACATGGTCTAAATAGTTTTCTATTGGGTAAATCTATGATGTAGTATGGAAGGGTTGCAAGTCAACACTTGACCTTCAATTGTTCTTCTGATCGTTGAGGAAAACTTTTTGCGATGCTTTTCCATCTGCAGAATTTGGGATAGCAATGAAAAAATCAATGTGCTATAAAATAAGGGTTGTTAATGAAATTGCAAATTCTACCTTCGCATTCAATGCAAATGTCCATGTATGTATTAGTAAGTATTACCTAGTGGGTTGAAAAAAGAAAAAGAAATAAATAAATAAATAAATAACTTGACATTCAAAGTTGTTGGAGCACAAATTATTGTAGTTTGAGGTTTTCAAGTGAGAAGTTGGGATTTACATCTATGCAAGTGTATATATAAGGGTTAATTATACTTAACAACTTACATGTTGATTAAAATTTCATTTTGATCTCTCTACTTTCAATTACGAGAGTCAACCCTTGCGCCTTAGATCAATTTGTAATATCACTCTTCTGTTCATTTAGTATTAGTGAAACTAACATAATTGGCATGTGTGCCACACATGAAATATATTTCCAAGGCCACAATGAAAACTGCCAACTTTTTGTCAGCAAAGAGTGACATTTTAACTTGACTTAAATTGTAAAAATTGACTGGGATAATTGAAAATAAAAGGCTAAATTGAAATTTTAGTGCAAATACAGAGGTTCTAAATATAATTAACCCTATATAGACTATAGATACATAATATACTATGTGCTGTAAAACATATTTTTGTCCATGTATCGCAACTTCTCGCACTAGGTTGTTTCCGTCTTGAACACTGTATGACTTATGCGACTTCTTGGCTGTTTTGCGCTGTGGTGGCCCTGAAGATGGTGCCACATGATGATTAGGTCCAACATAGTCCCCTCTGTTGATCAATGGGAAATTAGAAGTTCCATCACGAGCTGTTTGGCTATAGTTACTGAATCAGACAAGTATTATAGGAACCTCATAAATTTCAATTAAAATCACTATAGTAATTAGAAAAAAATTACTTAACCCAAAAATAAAGAAGAAAAATAAACAATATAGGCATTGAGAATGAGATGCCAAGTTTGATCCTGAAGAAAGTAAAAATAGGGTCCCATATTATTTAAGCCCTTAGGCCATGTTTGTTTGGGCGGACTGGATTAACATTCCCATGACTAATAGTCCTAGGATTACGAATCCGTTGGATTATGTATCCGATCTTAACTAATAGTCAAGCTTAAAATAATTAATCCCTACTTTAATTGTTTAACCAAACATCGGATTAATAATTTTATTGAACTATTAGTCCAATCCCAAGCTCATGTCCACCCAAACAAACATGACCTTATAGTATTATATTAGTAAGTCGAAAATGGGGCTCAATCTAACTTCACATAAATTAAATGGCCCAAAAAATTTAGGGTTCAAATTAAAGTTATATAAAAATTTGAGCCTAATTTGCAATTTTTTTTCTCATCTGAATCTATCAACAAAAGTAAATAAAGCCTTTTTCTATTTTTCTTCTTCCTCAAACCCATATGGCACACCCAAAAAAAAATGAACAAGCCGGCATTTGGCGATCCATTGAACCAACCAGCAATTTCCATGACACTGACTATGATCTTCTTTGGTGTCCAGTCCAGTGAGCCCCTCTCTTTCTGTTTCTTTAACGCATTTCAATGGAAGAGCATTTGCCCTAATTTCTGTAATTTTTGTACACCCTAATTGGTTTTTGGTGTCATTACAATTAAATCCTAATTTGTTTTTGCTACTAGTTTCTATCGTTTTAGTTAGTGGTGTTAATTATGTCTTCTTGTCTTTGTTGTGCATTTTCAACCCTTGCCCTAAAGTTGTGGACCTTAGGTTCTAATTTATGTTGTTCTGCATGTTTTTCTAAACCCATTAAATCCTCATTTGTTTTTGCTGTTAGTTTCAATCGTTTTAGTTAGTGGTGTTAATTATATCTTATTGTTGTGTGTTTTCAACCTTTGCCCTAAAGTTTTGGACCATCGGTTCTAATTTATGTTATCCTGCTTTGTTTTTCTAAATCCATTAAATCCTTATTGTTGTGGTTTGTCCAAATTTTCTATGGTTCTATGTTTTGATTCCATATTTTCTATTGTGTGCCTGTATGGAAACATTTTCTTTGAAGAGTCTGAACCTAACATATTCTCTCTTTGTTTTGATGTGCATGGAAACATGTTCTTCAGTTAACATAATCACCATGGGAAATGAAATCCATGGTTCAAATTAATAAACCAACTTCAGTGTAATCGAACTTTAAATTATGGAATGTAGTAACCTAACAACATAAAGATCCTGCATCTAAAATATTACATTTCATATCAAAGAAAATTAGCTTTACCTTTGTAGAAGCTGAGATGTGAATCCATTGTTCCCCAAGGATAGATGACTAGGTTGCGCAATCTGGTTTTGAGCTGCTTGTAGATGACTGGGTTGCACAATCTGGTTTGGAGCTGCTGTTGGAGATGAATCCCAAGCGCCTGAGACATCATGCATATACAATGCAGGATTAGTAGTGGGAAACAAAATTATACAGAATGACTTGATTTATTGTGGTTCAATAACTTAAAAAAACATAAATTCATGATTATGAGCGGTAGATAATAGCAAATATACCGCAGTCTCATCATTGTAGAAGAAAATTAGTTTCTACTCACAAATTCATAGGATTTTGTTTAACATGTATAATTTATATTATACAAAATGATGTTGTTTAGTATTTTCCTATATATGAAGGCTAAACAATTACTATAAAAGTTCGGTTTTGTTGGAACAGGGTAGGATAAATGCAAAAGTATATTATTAATATTCAAAATTTATGAAGTATCGTTGTTATATATACATGTGATATTCTTCATCAATGAGGTCACATAAAAAAGATAGATGGATCGATTTTGTCTCCTAGTCAGCTGACTAAGATGGGTCAAATTCGATTTACTCACCCTAGAGCACTCTATCAATATACCATGTTAGTATTTCAGAAGTATTGAATAATTATTTGATAATTTAAATTGTTCATTTTAGAAAATTTATGAAGAAAATTTATTTTTGAAAAAATGAATGACAAGTATGATTTTTGTGTTAACTATCTATTTTTTTCTTTTTAAAATATTTAGGATCTAATCATAGCTACTAATGTGGGATTAATTTTATTTTTTGCACGGCTGATTTGTTCAATGGGCTTTTCAAGATAAATAGATCATTAAAGTAAGCTTGGGATGGGCCATTGCTGGCTGGATTTCCTTCACAATTATGACAATTTAATGCTATAAAATTAGAGTGGCAATGTTAACCCACCCGTCATTTGTGGGTTTGAACCCACCTTATTTATCAGGTAATATTTGTTAGACGGACTTAATTATTGATGGATATGGGGTCATTGTTGTGACCCCCGTGCTATGCCTAAAACGGCACAGTTTAACTCCTCCTCCTCCTCCTCTTCTTCTTCTTCTTCTTTTTTTCACTATGTTTTCGGCATGATAAATTATACTTTGCCTTAAATCTTAAATTCTAAAATAAAAAATATAAATTTTAGAATTAAACCCTCATTATAAAAAATTAAGGTTTCAGAAACGAAAATTTAGGATAAAATTATTTTTTAGGGACCAAATAATTTTTTTGCGAAAAGTGTTGTTATTATATTTTTAGTAACAAAAATTGGACATTAGTGATGAATTATTATCATTTTGGGACCAAATTTTTTGTCTCAAAAAATAAATCATTTTGAGACTAAATTATTTTGCCCCTAAAAGTCTATTTATTAGTGACATTTTCAAAATTTTGTTCCTAAAAGCCTTGTTTTTAACTTTTCGAGACAACCTTTTACCGATTATCCTCGTGACTGTGAAAATTGGTCCCTAAATATTTTTTACAACAAAATTTTCACTTTTAGAAACCAAAACATTTGATCTTTAAAACTCTTATATGTTGTAGTGCCTAAACCTTAAAAAAAATTTCTAAGAATTAAACCTTAAATCCTAAAATAAAAATAAATAAATTTTAAGAACTAAACCTTAAACCCTAAAAAAAAAAAAGTTTATCCCTAAACCCTAAAATAAAATAAAATAAAAGTTTAAGGATTAAAGTAAAAAAGTGATCAAATATTTATTAAAACAAAAAAGGTTAAAATTATGCTGTTTTAGGCACAGCATGGAGGGGCAAAGCAGTGACCTTGAATTCATTATTGGCGGGTCCTAATGAAAGCTTATATAAACTTTAAAAAGCTAACTTTGCAAAATATATACTGTATGATTTTTATTATACATAAAACTTATGTAGAATAATGTGTTAGTGGTATTTATGCAATTTTAAATCATCATGATGAGTGTAACGGTTAGAAATGAAAGGAATAGGACAGTATGAAATTTTAGGGGAAATTGAAATTTTATTTTTCTAACAAAAACTTTGTTTGCATACAATTCCTCTATATTGAAATTTTATTTTTCTAACAAAAACTTTGTTTGCATACAATTCCTCTATAATTAGCCATTATAGTAGCAGAAAATACACTATAAAGATAAAATATTGCAAAATTTATACTAATAGTTTAGCATATTTGTAATAAAATATAGAAACATATTAATATGTAAATAAAATTGAAGCCTAATTTTCTTGTTTTAAACTTTCCCATTCTCATTGTTGAAAACTAGGGGAAATTACCAAAAAAAAAAAAAAAAAAAACTCGAGGTTTGAACCTTCTAAGAAGATAAAATTTTAATTTTTAGTTTTGTCAATTTAAATTTAAATTAATAAAATTTAAAACTCAATGTTTGTTTTGTTGCAAGGTTCAAATCCTGAGTTTTTTTTTTCTCCCTATAATTAAAATTGTTTAAATTATAAAATTATTGCCCTGAAATTTGAGTTTCTATCACCTCTTTGTGGTAAGTTAATATGCTCTATAACCCTTATATAGTGGAGGTTGTTATTCGAAGCCACATGTGGGGGCGTTGGGCGTGAACTCAACTCAAAAGAATAAATACATAAATTTTTACAATAATGATAGAGATCCCAACAAAATATAACCCTCACAACCTCTAAAATGATCTGAACTATTCATATTACTATCAGACACACCTATTTATAAATATGTATATGAACACATATATGCACACCTTTCATAATTAGCAGTGGCCTAATTTGAAGGTAGAAAAAGGATATATTCATACAAAATTCAAATTTGGTGATGGAGAAGAAATGCGGCATTCGGGCACGGTAAATTTACTACAGTGAACTATTTATTTACAAAGAATTCGACCAACACGTTCTGTTCATGGGTTGAAGGGTTGAAGGTTGGGTAAACTATATAGGATACAAGAGCCATCATGAAGCGTTGAGTGAACCAGGATACAAGAGCCATCGACAAAGTTAATACATCGTAAGACAAAGAGCAAGACTAGCAAAAATCAATCTCAAGCCGTTCAAGTTTACCAATTTGTCTCATTACTTGTTGTTCTCCCTTTACCACTAAGTTACAACTACGGGTTCACTACCCCACATTTCATTTGTTAGGGAAACGTAGAGTTGAGAAGGTCATTTTGGTTTCACAAACTTATGGCACGAGAATGACATAGTTATATGTATTATTCTCCTATGCTTCACAAGATTGAAGACATTAAAAAATTATGCTCAATACAGAAGTGTCTGTATGCACGCAATAACTAGTTAGAAGGTTGGATTCCATAAAACCCCCCACCAGAATTAGGCAGTTGTGGACTTGACAACCCGGGAATGGAAATGTCTTCTTCGAGCACATGTAGGAAATCACCTTCTAAAAAAATAACAACTACCGGTTAGGCATTTTAGACACACTGCCAACACAAACACACACACACAATCTTGAAGCCTGAATGACTATACGAAAAACTAATTATTCAAAATGAATGGGTTGAGTAAAGCAGGTAGAGAGAAACTTACTGCTGATGGACAAAATGCCCGATGATGTGAGAGGGTGCAACATCACAAAGGGAGGTTGTTAGTACTTTGTAGGCCTCGATGCATTGTGCCATGAAGAAGAAGAAGAAGAAGAAGAAGAAAAAGAAGAAGAGCGTGGTCTAGCAACAGCTGTGGGATTGATACAAAGTTTTCGAGAAAGCATGAAGTTGTGGTGATCTGTAAATTTTGCCGTCACCTGGCAGCCATTCAAACCCGCATTAAAAAATTACTCATGATTAGCTGTGGCTGGACTTGGAGATAGAAACGGCTATATTTATATCCAATTTAACCTTAGTGAAATAGGACAAATTTTCCCTTTGTTCACTACCATGTTTCATTTCTATGCAAAATGTAGCATTGAGGGGGTCAGCTTGGTCTATTAGGACCTTTACACACTAGGGAAACATTTGATTTGTGGATAAATTGGGCGGGATAAGTTACCTCAATTACATAATTCTGGGTTAATTCATCTTGGGGAGGGCATTTTAGTCATGTAGCAATGAAAGCGTTCTCTCGAACAGGGGAGGTTTTATTCGCATACCACAAAAATTCTCAATTCAAACCATTTTTTTTTTTTTTTTGGATATCAAATACGAATGAGAACCCAATTCGGTAGTTGATATCTGAACAATTAATTTGTGCTTTGTAGTTGATATCTAAACGAACAAAATGGTGTGAACTTGTAAAAAGATGGTGTGCAAATAGAAACTCCCCTTGAATGGGGACAAAATAATCCCTTATATGAGTGATTAAATGGCCCCATGATCAGTTCGTTATTGAGAGTAAGAAAAGTGCTACTAAACATTAGATTATTTAGTCACAACCCCGTCCTTTTTCTGCAAATCAAACAAGATTTTATGGCACGAGAGCGACTCAATTATACATAAACAAGTACGTATTTCAATAACTAGATTACACACTTCTATCTAATAAAAGTTACTCACCAGAATAATGCAGCTGTGAATTTTGCATGCCGGGGCCTTCAGCCACAAGTGGGAAATCCAATTCACCAATATTTTCTCCTGGAGATCATGAGAGTGTCTCAGCAGGTGATGATAGGTTTAGAACAATAACAATCTAAGCTAGGAAACATGATCAAGACACAAGTGACAGAGTCTCAACATTCCTCACCAGACCAAGGCTGCTGTAGATTTGGCCATCCGGTGATAGGGATATCTTCAACCATAAATCCAAAACCGTGGTCCGTCACATGCGATGGTAGCTCAGCAGGTCCACTGTTAGGCAGTAGGTTTGCAAAATTTAGCAGCAGTTTGGTAAGTTACATGAAAATCCATAGTGCAGTTAAGGAAATAGCCATGGTAAATGAAAACTGTGGTTCATGTGATTAAATCAACAGTGTAAAAGAACCATAAATTATGGAATCTAGCAGTAACTTCACCACATAAGGTCATGCTTCTAAAAATAATACAGATTTCATACCATAGAAAATTCGCTTTACCTTGCCAGAGGCAGCTGGAAAGGCAGGTTTCGGTCGAGTTCATCATCAAGGGTGGTGCGGTTTTGACCCTGAAGAAGTACACCAAAACCACGAGTTAGCTGAATGGTAGGAAGTTAGGAACCGTTGTTTCCATAATTTTCTTAGGGAACAAGCATAACCATCTGTAAACACAAAATTTGCCTCAACATGCCGGTGGTTTAGAGTTTAGAATATTTGTATATGGGATGAACCTCCTAATTTTGTTTCATTTAATTTTCTATTAGTTCTCTATTTCATGAGTTATTCCTACAATGTATATATGGGATTACAATAAACTGTAATAGCATTAATTTTGATTTTATACAATAGCATTTTATTGTTGTTTTTTCAAATATAAAAATTACAGATGTAACTTTTTTATTTATACAAATTATAATAAAATGTCTTAAATTAGCTGATTAATCAATTATACAATAAGATAATATTTACACAGCTTTAAAATAATATGAAATAATTTAAATAAGTACTAAGAAATGTCTCGTGTAGATTTATTAATTTCCCTTCTAATTAGATTATTTTTATAAATAAATTATTTTCTACCACTTCACCAACTTGGCTAATTGATTTAAGCATCAGCGACGGAAAAAGATGAAGCAAAATCAATCTGGTATTGAAATAATTTGAAAAATGGCCAAAAGATGAATTGTGCAAATCATATTCATTTATTCTATCAACACCATACACATCATTTTCTGATATTATGTGCACTATTATTTCTGAGTCAATGGTTTTTTCCATTTGCCAAAGCCACAGAAGAACTAATAATCTTTCTTGTTCAAAGCCACTTCACTAACTTGGACTATTTATATATGTAGTACATGTATTGCACCCACCTCCCTTCATTTTTGTCTTTTCTTTTTGATGCATTTTAGCTAGTTAGTTCTTGTGAAGTATTTTAAGGAAATCATTACGGAAAAGAATATTTCATTTGATATTTTACTTCAATTATCAAACTGAAAAAATCATAATCTTAAATGCAAAGAGCGGAAAATGCAAAAAAACCATATCTTTCTTTTTTTCTTTTTTCTTTCCTTTTTTTTTTATTTATCATAATTGTACTTTATCATATCTTTCTTTCGTTTCTTTTCTTCTTTTTTTTTTTTTCAGTAAGCAAATTTTTTTCTATCATAATTTATCTTAATTTTAATTATCTAACTGCGATAATTGTACTTTCAACATCTTAACTGCCTAATGAAATAGATGAATTTATGTAAAAATATCCGTGGTGTGTTGTTGTTATTTATTTATTTATTATCATTATTATTATTTTGAGAAAATACCTTAGCGAAGAGCATATTACACAAACAAACAAAAAAAATATGCATGTAATTTACCAAATAATGTAGGGGAAATAACAACACAGGTACAGGAAAAAAAATTATAAATCAATTAAAAAAATTTATACACTTTAATAATTAAAATGCTATACTTTTTCTTAATTTTATAATTTTTTTTATTTTACCACTCTGCTGTTATTTTCCCAATAACATAGCTCAAGATCACTATCAACAATTCTAGTTTCTTGGATCTCACGTACTGGCTCCGGTACTGAGTGAAAGAAATTAAAGAGATGTATATAAGAACCTCTATCCAAATAAGTAGGAAAACAGAATATATGAATTATTTTACCAAAACAAACCTCTAACAAATATATGAACCTCTATTCAAAAAATACTTTTCAAAAAATTTTACTTTCTTATTTTTCGTATTTTTTTTGTTTTTACTGAATTTTTTTAATATTTTAAGTAATTTTTTTTATGTTTTAGACATACCTAACATAAATATATCTAAAAAGTAAAAAATTTGTGAAAAAAACCTTTTAAAAATTCACTAAATACCAAAAAATACAAAAAAAAAATGAGAATTCTATACATTTTTTGTATTTTTATGTATTTATTAATTTTTTAAAATATTTTTTCACAAATTTTTTGTTTTTCAGATACATCTAAAAAAGGTGCATCTAAAAAATTTAAAAAAAATGTTTAAATTTTTAAAAATATTCACTAAAAACAAAAAAATACGAAAACAAAAAAACTCAATTTTCAAAAAACTTAATCTAAAAAACTCAAATCAAACATATTGATTAATTACCAAAATAAGGGAGTTGGACAGATTGGTTTTGAGCAGTTGCTCATGCACGATAATAGTTGAAATCAAAGATAGATGACGTGTATAAACAAAAAAATTGAAAACATGGTCCTATTATGGTTCAATCACTTCAAAACATAATAACTATCTCACAAATGGATATAACAAATATACCATAATACAATTATGTGTAAAGGGTAAACCTACGGTACACAACCTAATAAAATGTTTGTACTATGTCTACACTAAAGTTTCAACTTAGCATTGGTTATGTCCCAAAGTTATATTTGTTATGACTTGAAATGATGATCAAACTGAAAACAAAGTCCGCATATAAATAAATCATAACAAAACGGGCTTAATTATGATCCTAGTTGATAAAGTCATTAGCAACATATCAGTAATGTCTTGGGGTGCTAGCAAATGATAGGGTGAGCTCTATGGTGCCAACCTAGTTGGGATTATTTAGCTCACTTTGATGCTTTTGCACTTCCTTTTCCTTTATTGATGTTTTTTGTCTTGTACCTTGTACTTGTTCATTTTATCAATAAAGTTTCTTTTTTTTCATCAATAAAGTTTTTTTTTTGTCGATCAAAAAAAAAAAAAAACATATCAGTAATGTCAAATTTATCACATCTTTCTACCACATTATGTTTACCAGGTGATACGATATAATTACGATTATTAGCTGTAAATGAGATTCAAGTAGAACCCATTATATCAAGAATGCAAATGCGTTAGCACTCCTATGACATTCTTTAATAATGGAGTTAAGATGAAAAGTTCTTTATAAGTAGGTCCAAAAAAAAAAATTAAAAAGTTATGAAATCAATGAAAAGTGTGTTGAAATAGCTTTAGAAGTGTCTCATTTTTTAAAACCCATTTGAAGCACTTGTTAGTAAGACCTTACTAAAAATTACAATGGTGCCAATAGAAGGGAGATGCATCTGTTTCATTCATTCCTAACAATTAAGTAACAAGTAAATACTGAATATAATGGGTGTGCATCTGTTTAGTAACAAGTAAATACTGAATATAATGAGTGTGCATTAGTGCATATGCAATATCTACTTTAGACATTTGTATTCAATAAAAATCCCTTACAAGAATAAGGTGGCTGTGAATTTTGCATGTTGAAGTCTTCAGGCATTGATACGAAATTCAATACGGGGTCGGGGATGTCTTCATGCTCAAATCCAAAAATCTGAAACCATGTTAATTCCGGAGCAGGTCCTTTGTTTGGCCACAGGTTTGCATCCATTACTATCTATACCAAAACGAAAAAGAAAAAAGAAAAAAAAAAAAATCCTTGATATGGGCTAAAGCATTGATCCGCTCATTGGAGAATTAGTATTTTTAATTACTAGCAATGAACACGAAATAAAAACAAAATTATATGTTTTTTTCTAGCAAGTAAAAATTATATATTTTAAACAAAAAATCTTTTTTATGTATTTGAGCTCAATATAGAAGTTGTTGTAATGCAAAAATAATATATTAATTTTGATATTAAAATTCTAAAATTTTGATTTTATAGACTTAAGTGCATTAGTCCAGCAAAGTAGGTGCATTTGTCTATAAGTGCATTTAGTAATCCACACACAAGTAAAAACTGAACATTTTGTGATGCACAGATACAATTTATTAACATTCTAAAATTAATTTGTAAAAGTTGTTATATTATGGGAATATTAGTGAAATATCACTTTCCAACTTTAGGTAGTAAAAGGTCAAATATGTTTTTTTCTTGTTAGTTAAAGGTACCTCAGAAATATTATTAAAGAAATTTTTCTGTGAAATTTTTCTTTAAAGATCTAAAATTACAAAGAAATTTTTCTATAAAAAAAAAATCTATGAAAATATTGAGGGACCCACTATTATAAAAATGTTGAATATCCTTTATCTTTTAAAATTTTAATATCAAAGATCTTAAACTAAAAACTTCTATTAATTAAGCCCAAATTGGTGCAGTTATATCATAATTTTATTTTTATTTTTATTTTTTTTGAGAAATAGGTTAAAAAAACTTTTTAGCTTTTTTTTTGGTTTTTTGTTTAAAAATATATATAAAAAAATAAAAAAATAATATGACCAAAAGAGATTAAAAATCAAAAAAATTGCTTTTAATCTCGTCCCCAAAAAGGGCAACATAATATGAGATTGGGCCTACAAGTTGAAAAATGTGTGAAGTACTTGTTTTAGAGTTCTTTGTAGACTGAATCTTAGTTTTTATATTTTAGATCACAAAAAAATACTATTAGGGATGTTAAACTAAAAAATCCAATCAATAAATAGAAGAAGCAAACAAATCCCAAATATGTGTATTTTTATATTTTAAAAATTGAAAACAATGATTAGAATTTTGGAGTTGGAAGATCTCACAACATAAGATGCTATTATATGTAATAGATCTATTACATATGTAAAGATTTCTTACTCCTCTTTGCAACCAAATTGTTGTGAATTGTTTATTTTTTGATAGTTTCAAATTTTTATTTTGTTAAAATGGATGAGGAAATTACCTTCTTTACAAACAAAATAAATAAATAAATAAAGAAGGAAATAAGTGGGACGTAGCTTCTTACAAAGTGAAGTCCATCACTTGGAGGGTGAGTCCTCACTTGGCATCTGAAGATGCCAACATTAACACTCTCATAGATCATTTCAGTGAGCAAAAATTTCGATAATCGTAGCGGTGCTGCTCGATATATATCGTTGATGAAGACTTGTCTGCTTTTTTTGAGGCTATGATATCAAGAGAGAATGTTTTAGAAGTCAAGATCCAACAAGATCCAACTTGATGAGTACATTTCCGGCAGCTTTTATGCCTGCAAGAGCTCTTCTTTGTGCCCAAAACCTAATGACTGTCTGAGTCGGCAAGAGCAAACCCAAGCTGAGGATCGAGATCGTGATGATGAAGAAAACAAGTAAGTGTAGCCATTTATTAGACCCATAATATCGATCGACTACGCAGCTTTTATGCCCGCAAGAGAAGATCACTCTTCTTTGTGCCCAGAACCCAATCAGAAGAGCAAACCCAAGTTGAGGAGGATGGAGATCGTGACGATGATGAAGAAAAACAAAGTAAGTGTAGCCATTTAGGAGACCCATAATGTCGATTACGCTTGCAAGACAAGACCACCCTTCTCGGTACCCAAAACCCAATCACCAGAGCAAACTCAAGTTGAGAATGGAGATCGTGTTCATGATGAGGAAATACAAAGTAAGGGTAGCCATTTAAAAGACCCTTATTGAATTCTGTACAGTTTCATCACACATACCAGCTTCAAGAAACAAAGAGATCATGTTACTATATATATTTTACACACACACACACACACACACACAGAACTTGTAGTGAAAACTTACAGAGGGACTCGAGCGGCTAACAGAAGAACTTCAAGGGTTTCTGTGCTGTAGATCGCCAAATGCAGGGAGAGAGATCCGAGAGAGATCCAATTAGTGTGACTCTCTATTAATGGAAGTAACCAAATAAATCATATATATATATATATGGAAAAGAGATGAGAGTGTATTTTGGAAAGTAAGTTAAAAATGAATTTTTTAATTAATAAAAAAGAAAAAGTAAATTAAAAAGAATTATATCGAAATATTGCTTTTGATGTCGAGAAAAGAGCCTCAATCAATTCAACCGTGGTTTACATTGAATCCGGATTCTCGGTGCTCCTTTCCTGCCGCACAACCCTGTAGCCTCCCAAAACAACGTCGTTTTGGGGGGTTTTTTGTTTGTTTTTTTTTTTTTTTTCTTTTCTTTTTCTTCTTTCTCTTCTGTCTGTGTTTGGTCTTCTGCAGAACAGAAACCAGAGGGGAGGGGAGGGGAGGGGAAAAAGAGAGAGAGGAAGGGAGAAGAAGAGGGGAGAAGAAGAAGGGTTCAGAGTGTCGGCGACGACGAGGATTTGGTCGGCGGCTTCCAGTCTCGACTCGGATTCTCTAGCTCGGGTCATGGTCGGCGAGGAGCTTCTCGGCGATGAGGAGGGTCACGGCCGGTGAGTAGCTTCTCGGCGATGAGGAGCCACCGCTCTGCTGCTGCTGATGCCGCCGTGAGGGGAGGAGCTTCTCAGCTTCCATTTCTGTTACTCTCTCTCTCTGCTTTCACTCTCTCTCTCTTCTCCCTTCCTCTCTATCTTCTTCTCCTTCCCTCTCCTCCACACCTCTCTGATTTCTGTTCTGCAGAAGACCAAACACAGACGGAAGAGAAAGAAGAAAAAGAAAAGAAAAAAAAAAACAAAAAACCCCCCAAAATGACGTCGTTTTGAGGAGCTATAGGGTTGTGCAACAAGAAAAGGGCACCGAGAATCCGAATTCACCCCTTTCAAGCCTCTCCCACCATCCTCGTCTCTTTTCCAACCATTCTTTCCACCGAGACCCCCTTACAACTGTGAGGCCCCACTACTATTAATTTACCCAGGGTTGTATCAACTGGAAGGGAGTCAATATAATTTTTAAAAAATTTTAGAGGAACTTACTGATAAGTCCCATGTACTAAGTTCAAAACCCAGCTAATCCCAAAACAAAATACTTGCACCAATTAGTCCAATACATTTTTAATTGTTACCAAAAAATCTTTTTTTTTCTTTTAATTTACAGACAATGTTCACATCTTACTACCATCGGACTTCCGTCAAACGGTCGCCGGAGACTCGTCGGAATGTTCAACATCGCCGGAGACTCGTCGGAATGTTTAAAACATGTTATGAAACTGTAAAATTTTACAGTTCTAAAAAATGTTATAAAACTGTAAAATTTTACAGTTTTAAACCATGATTCATTCCAGCACCAAAAAAAAAATTTGAAACTGCAAAATTTTACAATTTTCACCGCCTGTAACTAAAACTCGAAAACTGCTTGTTCAGAATTTGAAAATTTTCTCCATTAGAACAGAAAAACAGAAGTGTATAGCAAAGAGAGAAAAAAAAAAAGAAATCGAAGGGGAAAGACGGATGTCTAACCAAATCTGTGTAGATCTACTCAGATCTGATGTAGATCTGAGTAGATATATAACAGATCTAAGTAGATCCATTCATCTTCTTCGTCGGAAAAAATGTTATAAAGAATGTATAGCAGAAAAAAAAAATGTTATGAAAAAAAAAAAAATTAAAAAACATGTTATGAAACTGTATTCTATCAACTGTCTACACATAATGCATATAAACACATTGGCCATATGCTCAATCAACCAACACATAAAGTTAGTGTATTCTATCAACCGTCATATTCTATGACACATCCAATCGATTAGTTTTAGTTTGTCTAATCATCATGCATTGTCTACAGCATTCAACACTACCCTCCACCGGTAGCCCAAAGCAATTATTTCTAAGCAGGAAATAAATGCACAAATGGATAATATATCAACATTTCAACTTAATGAGCAATAAAAGATTCGACTACACTCTTTAGTCCCATACACTCCCAATTTCAACATTCTCAATTCAATTCCTCGTTTTCTTCAATTAATTATATGCGTTAATTAATTAAACCAATTAGGAAAAATTACCATAATTCACAAGACAATCCTAAGGTTCCATTTCCATCAATGTCCCAACATTAATCTCATTTCTCTATGCCTAACATGCATATAGGTTTATATATTTAAAACCCTAATTTTTTGTAAAATTATACAAAGGCCCAAACTTTCTCAAAATAACCCAATAACCCCCAACATATCAATATGCTAAAATTCAATGACAAAGCTCATAAGATGGAGTAGGTTATCCCTACCTTGAATGATGGAGCTCAACGAAGGAGATGAAGAAACGGAAATGCTCCAAATCCCGAAATTTTCAGATTAAAAGATAGCCCTCGACGATCAACACAACTTTTGTAAAGGCCCAAGGTGAGAAAACAACTCCTCCTAGATCAATCCTAAGAGAGAAGTTAGGGTTTTAGTGAGAGGAACTCTCAAAATAGCTTTTTGAAAAAGTAAGAGAGAGAAAGGATGTTGAAAAGTGAATAAAAAGGTCGGATCTCGGCTTTATATAAAAGTCGCCCCGCTCGAGCGTCGAACATCCCGCTCGAGCGTCACTCACAGATCCCCGCTCGAGCGTCCAATCCCCCGCTCGAGCGGCATACGCACGCTCCCAGAACTTTTACAGACATGGTTCCCGCTCGAGCGTCAAACTCCCCGCTCGAGCGTTAGACACAAACTCCCGCTCGAGCGGCCAATCCCCCACTCGAGCGTCTACCACTGCAGACGAAATACTGGATGGGTGATTTCCCCGTTCGAGCGCCAACACCCCCGCTCGAGCGGAAAAGCAACGACAGAGTCCCGCTCGAGCGTCAAAAGAGCCGCTCGAGCGGAGGGACCAGAAACTGGGCAAGGATTTTATGTTTTAAAACACAACGAACTTATTCCCTACTTGCCCAACACAACCCAAAGCTCGAACAATAAAAAGAAAGGGGTAGAAAGAGGATAAGACAACAACGAATCTACGGAACCGTGTCCGGACTACAGTTAAACAACAACAGGGAATACCGGGATCGCTATAGCCGGCGAGGAGCTTCTCGGCGATGAGGAGCCACCGCTCTGCTGCTGCTGATGCCGCCGTGAGGGGAGGAGCTTCTCGGCTTCCATTTCTGTCACTCTCTCTCTCTGCTTTCACTCTCTCTCTTTTCTCCCTTCCTCTCTCTCTTCCTCCCCTTCCCTCCCCTCCCCTCCCCTCCCCTCTGGTTTCTGTTCTGCAGAAGACCAAACACAGACGGAAGAGAAAGAAGAAAAAAAAAAGAAAAAAAAAACAAAAAAAACCCCAAAACGACGTCGTTTTGGGGGGGCTACAGAGTTGTGCGGCAGGAAAGGAGCACCAAGGATCCGGATTCGGTTTATATTGAGTTGGGATCCATTTATTTAAACTAATTAATGTATTAGTCGGTAAATAGTTAATAATATGGTGATACTATATGTACTAATTAGTGTATCAATATTAGTTATGATATTATTATTGATCTCGCTTATTAATTATATTATAAATATTAAAAACCTCTTAAATTATGTCACATCATCAATTAGTACACCAATTAGTACATCAATTGATGCATATAGTATTCTTTGTTAATAATAATCTTATTTTATTCTAAAAATTATTATTTAAAGAAAATTATTGAAAAGTCTAATCTAAGGAGAATATAAAGTAATAGATTTAGTGAATATTTTTTGTTAATGAAAGGTTCACCTTTCGTGAAATCGTTGGGGACTTACGTATAAGTTTAAATTGGTGGACTTATTATCTAATATGTCCTGTGAGAATTAATAACGTTTTTCATCAAATATTATTAAAAAAAAATCACTAATAGTTAATTTTCAGCAACAATTTAAAAATTTTATCAAAAAATATATTACTAATTATAAGTTTTAGCTACAGTTTTAAAAAATAGTCACTAATTAGTTTTTCTATTGTTACATTTCAAAAAAATTAATTTTTTTTATCACATAAAAATTATTTTAAAAAATAATTTTCAAATGAGATCTAAACTTTATAAATTACTAATTATAAGTTTTAGCTACAGTTTTAAAAAATAGTCACTAATTAGTTTTTCTATTGTTATATTTCAAAAAAATTAATTTTTTTTATCACATAAAAATTATTTTGAAAAATAATTTCCAAATGAGATCTAAACTTTATAAATTATACGTGAATAAAGAGAAAATATATTTATAGGATTCGTTTAGGAAGTTGGTTGACTTTTTAGCTTTCCATTTCTTTTTGTTCTTGTCCTTTTTTTTTTTTATATATATATATATATATATAATGAGAAAAAATATATATATAATAAAAACATCCCACATGAAACACATTTAGCACAAGTCATTATCTTAGAGGGATCCGATGGAGGAATACGCTTCTTTTTGGAGAGATCGTTGGAAAGACACCTGCATGACTCTGGATTTGATATTTTGTGGGTGAAAATATATGTAATTTTACATTAAAAAAAAATACTATAAAATTTAAAATTTTGATTTATATCAGTAAAATAAATAAATAATATTATTATTAATCGGATATTTTTTGTCAATAAAATTGAGAACAAAAGTATAATTAGACATATTTCTTATTTGCATTAACTTATTAAAATATTAACTATTATTATGTCTCCATTTAGTAAAGTTAACTATTTAAAAATATTGTAATCATCACTTTTTATAATATATATAAAAATATCTATGATAAACCTGACATCAAAATCATAATAAATATCTTTCTTAAATATGATCAAGTATCTTATTAGGCAATTTAGTTTTGAAAAAAAAAATATTATTGAAAATATATGTTTTTATGAGTATAATGATAATCCATTTTAATAAGCGGTATTAGATTTAATTAACTTATTTAAAAATGTCTTGTTGAAGTACAAATATTTTTATTTTGAGACAATATTTTTATTTCGGGAGAATGAACAAAGAAGAATGAATGTAAAATAAGATGACTAAGGCCTCTTTTGAGGATTTGGTTTTTAGCTACTTTTTTAAGTTTGTAGTAAAAGTCAAAAGTTAGTTTTTTT